GGGGGGGGGGGGGGGAAAAAACAACCCCCTTCGGAAGGGTCCCTTTAAAACCCCAACAAAAGGGGAACGGGCCGCGGCCCCCAAAAAAAAGGAAATTGTTTTCCCGTTTCCCCGAACTTTTTCTTATTGGGGGGGTGGGGACCCCCCGGCCCCCCCCCCCCCCCCAAGAAGAAGAGTTTTGTTGCTGGGGGGGTCAGAAACCCCCCCCCCCCCCCCTAGCAGCAGGGATGGCTTTAGATGTGCAGCATCAGGTGGGGGGTACGGGGTGTGGAGGGTGAGCGTCAGGGGCGGCGGCCCCCCCATCTACAGATGATATGCGCATCTTGAGATAATATGCATCTAAGATGCGCCCTACTTGGACTGCACACTGTCTTGCCTATGCTCGAGCATCTCTAGATGGTATTTTCAACTTAAGATGCCGGAGCATCCTGGGATGCTCGAATCATCTGAAGATGCTTCGCATCCCAAGATGCTTGGCATTTCATGATTAAAATGCAAGTTAAATTATAAAGACTTCAGCGGCGTGTGAGCCCTTGGATCAAAGTGGAGTGGAGACTATGAATCTATGCTAATATCAGCTGCTATTGCTATGTATCTAAGTGTGATGCGACTAACTAGATCTACTCTGTTCGTGTCTGTGGAATACTACTGATGGTGATGGAACTGGGAGCCAGTGAGTGATCGTGGGGGGCACTTAGCCCTTGTGCTAATGCTGACTTTACTACACTATGGACGGTTGCGGTTGTTATGTAAGACTGGTTTTTATTTCGGGTTCGGGTTCGGCAAAAAAAACTCCGACACTGAAAATTGGAAAAAATCCGACAATGCGCTCATGTTCCTGAGATGATGATGCATTGCGCATCCTCAGATGCCACATTGCATCCTGGGATGCATGGACTAACCCAAGATGAGGGTATCATCTCGGCACACTTGTGCGTCTGGAGACGACTGCAGTAATCTGAGATGTCACGGGCTATCAAAAGACGTGGGGCACCATCTAAAGATGATTAAATCTTCTTGGAGAACCCAATCATAGCGGAGACACCCGGTGTCCAAAGATGGAAAACACATCCTAGATGGCGTTTGGCATCTAGGATGCGCATATCATCTGTAGATGGGGGGTCGCCGCCCCTGACGCCGAGTTGACCGAGGGGTTGTGCGCCGGGCCCTCCTGCTCGGCTCCAGCCGGTAGACAAGTCTTGTCATCAACAGAGTAGATGGATCTGACCTCGGGGCCGATGTGACCAGGCGCTGGTAGCGTGGTTTCACCTCACACCCATGATCTCACAGTGTGCCGGCAGTCGCCGAGCAGTGTCGCTCACACAAGCCGCAGCACAAGTGACTGAGGGCCAGTGAGGGCGAGCCCATCGCTGTCACAGCTGTGGCAGCCGCACAGTAGGCTGTGTCAACTGTGAAGAGTGTGTGAGCAGCAGAGGAGCTGCTCTCCAGGCTTCTGTCGCAAAGAGATGCATGCCACCGAAGGCGCTGTCGAGGTTCGCCGAGCGCGGCGCAGGTTGAGGGAAGCCGCCACCGTGCGACGAGCGCGTTGGAGTATTCACTCCGGACAAAGACGGGGACACAGCGGATGGTGCGGAGTGTGTGTCCCCGTCATAGCGGCGAGGCGCGGGACCGTCTGTGGCGAAGTGGGTCGCGTCCCTCGATTTCCGTCAACCCAGCATCCACACCCCGCCCTTTACCGGGGAGCAGAGAGAGAGGTCGCGCCCACTGCGTGTGCGGGGCCGCTCAACCTCAAGTTAATGATAATGTTAAACACAGCTCTTTTGCGTTTTGGCTTTTGCCTCCCCCGCGCGGTGTCTTTACACGACTCTTTTACGTGACTCGTGAGAGATGGCAGATATCATGACGCGAAGTCCCCTGGTTCGTCTCCACTAGACACTGCGAACGGCGCGCGCCGCGTCACTCCGTGAACGACTTTGCGGCGTTGACAAACGCCGCCACGGACGCCTCGGGCGTGCCCTGCAGCACTCCGTGGCCGAGGTTGAGGAGGTGCTGCCCCTTGCCGCCCGCGTCGCGTATGTTTTGGTGCACCGCCGCCGTGATCTGCGCCTCCGAGCCAAACAGGACAG